TTTAAATGAGACCCAGTTTGCAAAGAAATCTCAGAGCCCCTTGTGCAATCAGCAAGCTCAGGAATTCCTTGACTCCCATCCAAACCTCCCCCAGCCCCTTCTTAGCCTTTCTCCTTGCTCACTACCATCCATGCCACCTCCCACCCACAGAGAAAGAAGAGGTCATAGCCAAATGGACTCAAGGAGGAGGCCTTCGATGGGGTTAGACCAGGGACCAGGGTGAAATAAAGACTGTTTACCCACACCCTAGCTTCCTTAGCTCATCTCCACCCCCATCCCTGGACCAGGAAAATTTCAAGACCAGTTAGCGCACACAGCAGAGAATGGAGTGAAAGAAGATGAATCTGAAAGAAGCTGAACCTGAACTCTAAGTGGCTCATGGGAAAGCAGAGTATGAGATTAGAGATCAAAGGTAAGAGGGAATCTTTTCCTTAAGGTCCTCACTTTTGAGAGGGCAGGAGACTGGTGCCACCTTATGGAAGAGGGAAACTCCAGCTTGGCTGGGGGTGGAAGCTGACCTGTAGGAGCCCCCCACCCCCACCCCCAGGAGTCTGGAAGTCTTTGGGGTGTCTGTGAATCTTCCTCAGGTTACAATCTCAAGCTCCAGCAAAACCTAGTAGGCAGCTCTCAGGTGGCTTTATTGTATTTACATGAACTTCAATCAGTACTGGGCATACAGCAGGTGCTCAGTAAATGCTGACTTGATGCCATACAGGGCCCTCCAGACCACAACTTGAGTTCCAAATTAGTGACTCCTCCCCTGGCTGCCGTAACCCAGGGTGAAGGGCAAGGGTTGAGAGGGAGAAGCAAGTCAGGGGCTAGCCTGAGCTTCTGACCTTGACCCTCTGCCTAGAAGTCCCATAACAGGCCCTTGCGTGAGGAGCTGAGCTCTCCAGTAGTGTCTTGGACCTGAAGACTGAAAGTTTATTTTCAGATTTGAAGCCCCAAAGTGGCAGATCCCAGAAAACCTCTTCTCTGGCTCCGTATTTGTTCTCTAGTTAAGTGGTTGAGTGCAGCTCTTGCAGTCAGCTGGCTCGTGCCGCCAAGCTTCTCCTGGAAAGCTGGGGGATTGGAGAAGGGAAGAGGAAGGAGCAAAGCCTCAGTATGTGTTGTCCACTCTAGGGTAAAAGTGGCCTGTAAGTCTAGGGGGAAGTCTGTCCCCTCATACACCTCCCTTTCTCTTGAAGCTGCTGGTGTTTCTGCCCGCCCCCACCCCCCCCTCCACTCAGAAACACGTTTTGATAGTTGAGCGTCTGTATTGTGCCAAGACATGGTCCCACTTGACTATGAAGAAAATGGAAGCCAAAGAAGGGGCCCACGTGAGCGAGTCCACCCAAGATAAAGGCTGATGTGATCATCATCCCCAGCTCCTCACCCGCTCACCCCAGGTCCATATGTAGAAATAAACACAGGGCCAGAGTCACACCCAGATCTAAGCACACAGGGGAGACTGGGAGAGGCTGCAGACTGTTGCCTAGCATCTGGGTGGGGCTGGGTTGGGAGGAGGTGAAGGAATAGTCCAAGGAAAGGGTCTTGGCCAGGAATTGTTGTTGTTGTTGTTGTTAAGTGCCGTTGAGTCGGGTCCGACCCATAGCGACCCTGTACAGGGTTTCCGAGGGTGTAAATCTTTACGGGAGTAGAAAGCCTCATCTTTCTCCCGCGGAGCAGCTGGTAGTTTCGAACCGCTGACCTTAAGGTTCGCAGCCCGATTCGTAACCACTACGCTCCTGGGCCTTTCCTCTCCCACCTGCTCCTCTCAATGAAGCACAACATAAGGTCTGCTCTTTTCTAAAGAAATCATGTTGTTGTGAAGTGCCATTCAGTCAGTCCCGACTCATAGTGACCCTGTATAGGGCTTCTGAGGAGTGACTGGTGGATTTGAACTGCCATTCTTGTGGTTAGCAGTCCAGTGCTTATCCTACAGCGCCACACCAGGACTCCAAAAGAAATCATAGGACTAACTAAAACTCTCCATTCCAGTCCAACCCAAAACCAAGCCCCCTTTCCACCTTACCTCAACGTGGGCACCTTCTTCTCTCCATACCTATCAGAATGCCTCCCTCCTCATGGGCTCTCTCTGCCCTAGGTAGCTGGCCTCCTTGCTGGCCCCTGCTTTCGAGCCTGTGCTGCCTGTTCCCTGTTTCCGGAATCTGTCACCAAGAATCTACATGGCTCAATTCCTCACCTCCCTCGGGTCTTCGTTTAACTGTCACCTTCATAAGACCTACTCTGATCACCATAGATACAACTGTGACCCATCCCCGTTACCTGCTCTATTTTTTTCCATTGAACTCACCACGTTTCAGCAGGCTACAAGTGTATGTAAGAAGTTCTGGTAGCGTTGTTGTTAGGTGCCATCGAGTCAGTACTGACTCATAGCGACCCTATGCACAACACAATGAAGCACTGCCCGATCCTGGGTCAGCCTCACAATTGTTGCCATGCTTGAGCCCACTGATGCTGCCACTTGGCCAATCCATCTCCTTGGGGGTCTTCCTCTTTTTCTTTGACCCCTCCACCTTACCAAACATGATGTCCTTCTCCAGCGACTGGTCCCTCCTGACAATATGTCAGAAGTATGAGAGATGAAGTTTGGCCATCCTGGCCTCAAATAAGCACTCTGGCTGCACTTCTTCCAAAACATATCTGTTGGTTCTTTTGGCAGTCCATGGCACTCTCAATATTCTCCTCCAACACCCTAACTCAAAACCGTCAATTCTTCTATGGTCTTTGTTATTCACTGTCCAGCTTTCATATGAGGTTATTGAAAATACCATGGCTTGGGTCAGGCACACCTTAGTCCTCAAGCTGACACCTTTGCTCTTCAACACTTTAAAAAGGTCTTGTGCAGCAGACTTGCCTAATGTAATACATTGTTTAATTTCTTGACTGCCGCTTCTGGTAGCATAGTGGTTACAAATTGGGCTGCTAACCTCAAGGTCAGCAGTTTGAAACTACCAGCTGTTCTGTGGGAGAAAAATGAGGCTTTCTGCTCCCATAAAGATTTACAGCCTCGGAAACCCTGTACAGGGTCACTATGAGTTGGAAATGACCACCCGGAACACCATCACCACCAGTATATGTATGTTTTACTTATGATGTTTACTGTTTATTGCCTATATTCTCCCAACAGATGGTAAACAGCAGGAGGACAAAAATTGTTTTGTTTTGCTTTGTTCAGTGATGAGTGAGTGTCTGGCATGATCCTGGCATACGGCTGAGAAAAAAAAAAATCAGGATTTATTGAATTAATGAATGCATTCACCACCTGTCACAGAAAGAAGGTGTGTGTGTAAAGGGGGGTCAGGTGAGGAGGGCATTAAGGTCCTTTTGTGCCTGTCTGCTGGTCTCCTCTTCCTCCATGATGTCTGCAGCCGTGAGTGGCCAGCTGTACCCTGTCAGCACACCCTCCAGCATTGCTAACACCCTCCATATCCCCCTCAGTGCATTTGGGGCTGAAGGGGTGGGGCAGTTTTTAGCGTGATGTTTACTTCAGGACTTTATAGTTTAGATAAATCACGAAGAGAGGCACGAAAGACACCTAGAATGGGGCTAGGTGGGAGAAACTGAGGCTGGAGAAGTGGTAGGGTCAGACCCCAGGTGAACTCTCTGGACGTTTTCAAAAGAAGTTTTACACCTCAATAAAGTCCGTTCTGTCGCCAGGGACTCCAGTGAGGTGGGTGAAATAACTTTTGACAGAGAACATCTATCTCCCCCTTATCTATTATTCCCCTTCCCCCGTCTATGTGCTGGAGGGGGCATGTAGGAGCTGCGGAGAGGGGGAAGGAAGGCTGCAAATGCAGCGAGAAATAGCTCCGGCCTTCCACTCTCGCAGCAGGACCTCCACCCTGGCCTCTGGTTTGGGGAAAGTCGCCCAGCTGTTTCTGATTCTTTCAGTCTCGCAGCCCCGCCCAAGGGGTGGGGGACCGATGGCCGGGGAGAGCCCGGAGAAGCTGAGATCTGCGGAGCCCGGGAGGGAAGGGGCGGCGAGTCCCAGTCCCAGTCCTCGGCCGCAGGTGCTGTCCCCTCCGCCAGTGAGTCCCTGTCCCCCGGCCCCCCCCCCCCCAGGAAACATCCGAGGAGGGAGAGCTGGAGGGGAAGCCCAGTCTAAAGTTGTTGAGGGTGGGCAGGAGGCAGTGGGGAGGAAGCACCAATGGCCAGGAGCCCTAGGTGAGAGAAGACCGTACCTGAAGCCGATTGTCCACAGCGCCCCAGTAGGCAACGTAGAAACGGGAGTTAATACTCTTCCGCAGCTCCCGGCAGCCGGGACAAGATTCCACCCATTTCACAGAAGCGCAATGATGGAAAGAGAGGATTCAGGAAATAAATACGGCCTTCTGAATTTTCAACTCTCACGGCCCTGTAGGTTAGAAGGCAGGGAGACGCTTCTGCAGCCCCCTTCCGCTCCGCGCGCTAGGCCATCCACCCCCAGGAATCTAGGGTGCTGGCTGAACGCAGGGCGCTAGGACCCGGTGGCGTGGCGTCGGCGGGGACCGAGCGCCCCCCGCACTGACTGGCTCCGCGGCGCCCCGAGCAACGCTCCGGAGCAGGTGGGGGCGCGGCGCGGGACTGCGAGGGCGCGCTTAGGGGCGGAGGCGGCTACCACACCTAGGGTGCCGTGGAGCGCCCCGGCTGGCGCGGGCGGAGCCGCCTTGAGGGCCGCGCGTGTCCCGGCTTCGGCCCCGCCCCGCGCCGTCCAATGAGAGGCCGCGGTCGGAGGGGCTGGCTGCACACGCTGTCCGCTGCCCTACTCCGCGTCGCCGACCCTCTCACTCCGCACTCGGCACCCCGCGCCCGGGGCAGCGCGCCCCAGACCCCGGGCTCGGCGCGCCGTCGTCGGCCTCAGAACACTTTACCTTGCACTCCGGCTTCTGGACTCGCCAGTCCCCATAGATCCCCAGCTGCTGGCCAGCCCATGGCCTCCCAGGGGGGTGAGGCAGGGATTGTCTGAGTACCCCCAGTCCACGTCCCCTGCCCCTGGGCCGCGCGGCGGAGAGTCTTTGGGGAGCTATGCTGAGGCCCGGCGGAGCGGAGGCAGCCGAGCAGCTCCAGCTTCGGCGCGCCCGCGTCCCGGTCCCCGCGTCCCCCGACGGCTACCGGTCTCCGACCCGCCTAGGTCTCGCCTGTTTGCTGCTGCTGCTGACGCTGCCAGGCCCCGTAGACACGTCCTGGTGGTGAGTGGCGCTCTCGGGACCGGGCGGGTGAGGCGCTGGGTCGTAGAGACCAGAAGGCTCCCGGCCCAGGTTGCTCCAGGGGCAAGCCTGCCACTTCGCTGGAGTTAGAAATGATCAGGGCAGAACCGTCACCGAAGTCACAGCGTGACAGGCGGGATGTAAGACCCGGACAGTTTCCTTCAAAGAGTTTCTGAGACCGCCGCGTCTTTCCTTTTCAGGAGGACGCTGGACATTTGGAGTAAGGACGCCTGGTGGTCTGGACTCCAGGCTCCCACATGCTGTATCCCTTCTATCTCAGCTCAGGCCCCTTACTCAGAAGTTAACTTCTCGAGTTGTTGGAGTTGTTGGTTTGCTTTGATTTTTTCCAGTATGTGTTCAAGAAACGTATGGTATCACCCTTCTTTGGCCTGCAGTGGCCATTTCATTGGGCACCCCCTCTCCCCATCGCCCTCTGGAAGGTGGAGAACGCAGGCAGGTAGACACTGCTGAGGCAGCAGCTTGCAGCGTGAGGTTTATAAATTGAATTGAGGCAAAAAAAAACCCGACCCCCATTAACTCCCACAATTAAAACAAACAAAACACGTGGGTGTACATAATCTAGACATTTGTCTCCAGCCTCGGTTTTGAGGATAGCATTTCGAACCGTTGTTTCCCTCCCTTCTTCCCCAGAGGACCACAACCTGAGAGGTTTGGGGAGTCCTAAGCCCTAAGAGACCCTTTCTCACATTTTTTGCAGGCCTTAGATCCCAGCACTTTACCAGACAGAGGCGGCAAACAGCTTTCAAAACCCACAAGACGTCTGTTCTTTTAGGAACAACACCCCCTCACCCTCACCCCAGTGCTCCACCAGCCCTGCATGGCACTCAGTGTCTCCCTCAGGAGAAAGAGCTGCTTTCCCTCTTACCCCCGCCTTCCTGGAGTGGGCAGCAGGGTTAGGGTAGAGGGGATGGACTGGACTGAGTAGACTCAGTCTTCTCGGCTTTTCTTTTCACCCCCCTCACCCCCAATCAAACTGGTCTTTTGTTGTTGTTGTTGTTGTTAAATGCTGGTTCTGACTCATAGAGACGCTGTAAAGGGTTTGCCAGGAGCTGCTGGTGGGCTTGAACCACTGACCTTGTGGTTGAAACTGACCTTACAGTCCAGTGCTTTAGGATCCTACTATTGCCCTTCTTACCCATGTAGTGCCCCACTTGCTTTCCCCACTCTGTTCCTCATCCTCCTGCGCACTGCCCCCCCCCCCAGACCACCACCACCATGTAGTCTTGTTTTCTTTTCTCTCCACCACCCCCCTGCACCTTGTGGCTTTTCTCTGGACTTGGAATCTTGGCTCTAAGGGTAAGGGGTAGCTGGCTGAGGGGCCAGTGAGCTTGGGCTACAGATTCCTATCATTTCAAGATGCGGCTTACTCCCCAACCCCCAACCTCCAACCCCGGTTTTCCTGTTTCAGAAAAATCTCTTTTTTGGATCTTTTTTATCTCTGCAGTGTTGAGGAAGGCAAGGAGGGGGGTTCTGGATGGGGAAGAAGGGAGGCCTCTATCTTACATCTGGCTGGAAACATTCCTTTAGAAAGGGAAAAGGAAGAAAGGGGACAAGGAGAAAAGCCTTTCAAAGTTCAGGGTGAGATTACAGCCACCCTTTTACCTTCAAGGCTCACTTTGGCTGATTAAGGGTATCTTCACAAGCTCTGGCCCAGATGGCAGTTTGCTTCTGGGGACTAGACTATTGCATACCAGCTTGGGAGGTACTGTTTGGGGGCCAATTTAGGTGAGAAAGTGTCACTCTGGTCATTTCAGCACCCTGGTTCCTAAAGACTGGGGTTCTTCATTGTACCCCTGTCCTCCCTTCAGCTACATTCCTTCTCCTTTTACTTTCTCACTTCACTACCCTCTCCCCACGTGGTTCATATTAAGATTTTGGAAAAGGTCCTGGGGAGAGGGGTGGGTGCTACACAAAGGGACTCACCATCCCTATGGAATGGAAGTGGGGGGGAGCAACAGGATCTGGATGAGCAGTGATTGCAGAGATAAATTCGGTTTCGTTGCTTCCCACCTGTCCGAGAGGCAGGCCCCAGTTAACCTGCCTTAGTGGTTATCACTTCTGGGAAAAGACAGCTGCCTTCTAAAGGCAGGTCAGGCCTCTAAGGTGCTTTTCATAGGGGGAGGAAAGAAACCCCATAATAAGCTAGCAAGATGTTCTGCACAGCCCTTGGAGGAGATGCCTGTTTGTCTCTGTGTGTATCTGTGCTCCAGGAGGTCAGCATTGTCTCCAGCCCAAGATTCGGTCCCCCACCCTAACTGGAGGAGGAAACTGATGATTTCTTCTTAGTCTGTGACAAACCAAACAAGAAAATAGGGGTTCCTGTCATGTGCACAGGGGGCTAGATGTAGGACGTCAGGAGAGCAAGATTGTATCAGAGACTCACACAGGAGAGGGACACCAAGTAGTTTAATAATACTAGTGTTACTGTTACCAACAGCTGCCACTTAATGAGCCCAGAGTCTTAGGGTGGCGCTGTAGGATAAGCCCTAGACTGCTAACAGCAAGACTGGCAGTTCAAACCCACCAGCTGCTCCTTGGAAACCCTATACAGGGTCGCTATGAGTCAGAACCAACTCAATAGCACTTAACAACACTACCCACGAGTTAGAAGTGACTCGATGGCAACTGGTTTTACTAAGTGCCAGGCATTATGGCAAAGCATATAAGAACATCATCGGCTTCAACCACCAAAAGAATCCACTGAAGTTGATACTATTATTATCTCCATCACACAAAAGAAGAGAGGGGTGGAGGGGAGTGGTAAGGAACTTGCTCAAGGTCACACAGATTTTGAAGCCAATCAGGTTGGTCTATTCCTTGTTAAGCCTTGTTCTTCTGTCTTGCCCCTGGAATAAAACGCCCTTGAATTTTGGAGTCAGATGGCCTTGGTTCATCCTGGTTCTCGTTAGCCCCAATGGACACAGCTGGATATCTTGCAGTAAATCACTTAATATCCCTGAACCTCAGCTTCAACATCTGTACCTTGGAGATCTCGCTCATAGGGTTTGTGTGCAGAAAGATGTGAACTGTGAGGTACTATACACATACTACTGTGTGATTAGAAGATTCTGGGAGGGTAATAACTTTTAACCTGTGTTGAAAGCCCTATGTGAGCTAGGTTGAACCACATATACTTTGTTATGTTGTTGTTAGGTGCCATCGTGGGTTCTGACTCACAGCCACCCCATACACAACAAAACACTCTTGGGTCCTATGCCATCCTCACAATTGTTATGTTTGATCTCATTGCTTCTTTCCACTGTCATTCCATTTCACTGGGGGTCTTTGTTTTTCACTGACCCTCCATTTTATCATGTTAGGTCCTGTTGTCTAGTTGGTTCCAACTCATAAAGGAGTGGTTGGTGGGTTTGAACTGCCGATCTTGCAGTTAGCAGTCCAGTGCTTATCCTACAGCACCATACCAGGACTCCACCATGTATTCTGTTAAGTGTCATCAAGTCGGTTCCAACTCACAGCGACCCTCTATAGGGTTTCTGAGGAGTAGCTGGTGGGTTTGCCAGCCTTGAGGTTAGCAGTCCAGTGCTTATCCTACCGCACCATACCAGGACTCCCCACCATTTATAGTGCTGTCAAAACACAGAAGGTTGGGGGGAGTGGAGGAATGGGGAGAGGATCCCTGGCTTCATGAAAAGGACACAAGCATAAAACCAGGACTTTGAACCGGTTCATTACACTTCACCCCTCTGCAGACAATTTGCTTTTCTGTCAACCTACAGTTCAGGCTGCGAACCTTAAGGTCAGCGGTTCGAAACTACCAGCCGCTCCGCGGGAGAAAGATGAGGCTTTCTACTCCCATAAGGATTTACACCCTCGGAAACCCTGTACAGGGTTGCTATGGGTCGGAACCGACTCAACGGCACTTAACAACAACAACAACAACAACAACAGTTCTAACAAGAGCTCCAGGTGGATTGTAATAGACCCCAGGTGATGCTTCTGTGTGCATAAGCATCTCCTAGGAAGCGTGTTAAATTGTAGATTCCTATTGGGTACATCTGGGGTGGAAAGGCAAATTCTCAGCCCGGGATCAAACCAAAATGATCTGGTTCAAAATCCTGCATAAAACATCTGCAAATAGGCTGGCTATGTCAACAAGGGGTAGAGCTGTCATTGAAATTGTTCCTGGCTGGCTAGGGGGAAAAGGGAGTTGTGGGTGAATCAGTGTTCATTCAACAAATAGTTACTGAGTACCTACTATGTGTTATACATGTTCTAGGAACAGGAGCTATAGAGAACTAAACAGACCAAAATGCCTGTCTTCATGGAGCAGTGGGATGGAATCATATAGGGAATCTTGTCAAAATGCAGATTCTGACTCAGTCTGTGGTGAGGCCAGAGGCTCTACACTTCTAATAAATTTCCAGGTGATGCTGCTGCTGTAGGGCCCACACTTTGAGTAGCAAGGGTTATCAGTCACTTCGTCATAGGAAGGGATGTATAAAGGACATTCTAAGGTAGAAGGCTAGGAAGGAGGGAAAAAGAAAGCTACAGAGTTAGAGCCATCTGGTCTCCTATAGCTGACCAAGTTGGGGGATGCTTCACACATCTCTGTGCCCCTGAATCAAGCTCAGTGCTTGCCACATGGTAGGCATTTTGCAGGCATGTGTTGAAGCAACTATTGAGCAGGGGAAGGGTAGTAGTAGAGACATTAATTACTTTCCCATCTTTGATACTGAACAGATGTTCCCACGCTCAGTAAGGATGTAACAAGAAGGGCCAATGTGGGCTGCAGCAGAACAGATTGAAGTCAGACCACAGGAAGGACTTTTTGCCAGAGTTTGGCCTGCCCTACTCCAGACAGTCTCAAGAGGGCCGGATTATTGGTCTTCCATTCCCATCCACCACCATCACCCTCCCCTCCCCTTTCCCAAACCCCAGCAGGGAAAGGGGGGTAAAAATAATTGCTTTAGACAGTACTTGGGGCTGAACTAGGGAAGCAGAACAGCGGTGAGACGGGGATGAACTCCAATTCCAACTGTCTTGAATCTCTAAACAAAGCACCGCAGCAGTGGGTGTAACTCCAGGCTGTGCGTCAGGCCCTGCTTTCCGGCCCGGCCCGGCCCAGCCTGGGTGTTTATTTTGTTTGTTCCTGGAAGCTGTTGCCCTGATGGACAATGCTGGGGACGCTGATTCCATGGGATTTGTTAGTGCAGGGCCAACCTTCTCACCCCTCCCCCGGGACAGATGGGCCCCATCAGCCTTGCTGAGTTCCCCAAGAGGCAAGCATCAGCCCTCCTTGTGTTTGTTTGAGTTGGTGTCACCAGTGGTGATCCAGTCTGTGGGCTGGCTGTGGGAATGCAGGGGAGGCACAGAGCCCAGGGCAGTCTAGCTCTCCCCCTCCCTCCACTGGGCCACCCTCCCTTCTCCTCACCCACTTCTAGGCCCATCTTGGGGCTGTTCCCAAACCACAGGCTCATTCATGTCTAGATCAAATCTTTTTAGTCTGGAGCAGTGACTGCTTTCACTGCCCCCCACCTGCTCAGAAAAGGGGAGGAGGGCATCCCTGAGATGTGCTTTGGGAAGGAGAAGAGAGAATGCCCAAGTCAAGGAAGGACTGTGGGGTTGGAGACCTGGCATGGAGTGACAGGGAGAGCTGGGCTGTTGAACTGTAGGAAGTGGGTGAATGGGTCCGATTTTGTTTGGTGGCCTCCAGGGAAGGAAGGGTAATGGATGCACTATTGTTTTCTCCCTGGGACTTGTGGTGGGCAGGCCAGAGTGAAGAGAAAATGTTTTCTGCAGAAATTTGAGACTGACTCTAGCAGCCTACCTGTCCTTCCATTTCCCACCCCAACCCCTACTTACACTGGGATAGTTTGGGGAGAGTTGCCCTGTTGCTTTAAGGTACTCTGGTAGCGTAGTGGTTATGAGTTGGACTGCTAATCTCATGGTCAGCAGTTCAAAACTACCAGCTGTTCCGCAGGAGAAAGATGAGACTTTCTGCTCCAGTAAAGATTTACAGCCTCGGAAAGCCTTTACAGGGTCATTATGAGTTGGAACCAACTCCACAGCACACCACCACCACCCTGTTACTTTTTAGCTTGACCTTTGGCTTCCCACTGCAAATAGCCCTCTGCTCATATCAGGGTCATATGGGACAGTGTGTGCTCTACGTTGAGGAGTATGATTCTAAAAAACCCATTAGTCTTACAAGAAAGGCCCTGGGCCTAGAAGTAAGTGCTATGGGGAAGAAAGTAGGGCCTGGGGTCTACTTACCACAACTTCAGGATCAGGAATGAGGGTTGTTTTTTTTTTTTTTTTTTTTAGCTATATAGGTCAAACTAGCATTATAGACATTTCTCAAAATTGCCCACTAGGTCTCTTTCCACTGACCCCCCCACCCCAGACCCCAGTTCCAAACCACGTCTTCATGGACTGACCACTCTGGACGCACCATCTCCTGGGCTTGGTGTGAGAGCGGTGCCTCAGGCCCTCATTTTCTTAGCTTATTTTTCCATGAGGCTTTTAGTGTTTATGAAATAAACAGGCAGTGGGTTTGTGTGACATGCCCACAGCTTCTGTGGATGTGATACATGCCTGGCCTGCGTCCTAGGAGTGTGTGTCACTCTGGCCTTTAGCCGGGGTCCTGGTGATAGAGAGAGACCGCTCAGTTATTATCTTTGTAACTGCGTAACTCTCTTTCTCCAGAGCTTGTGGGGAATGGTTCTACCCGTCAGCCTCTGGGAGTCTGGGTTGGGGGAAGGGGAAGGGATTACTCAGGGTCTGAACGCCAAGCCTCCCCTGTCCTCATTCCTCTGGCCATCTTGTCCTTGCAGGTACATTGGGGCACTGGGAGCCCGAGTGATCTGTGACAATATCCCTGGTCTGGTGAGCCGGCAGCGGCAGCTGTGCCAGCGTTACCCAGACATCATGCGCTCAGTGGGTGAGGGTGCCCGAGAATGGATCCGAGAGTGTCAGCACCAGTTCCGCCACCACCGATGGAACTGCACCACGCTGGACCGGGATCACACAGTCTTTGGACGTGTCATGCTCAGAAGTAGGGACTGCCTGTACCCTGCCCCAGCTCCTTTCGTTTTTATGCTTTGGGTGGTGAGTGGGAAGGGTAGGCATGACCCCAATGGTACTTCATAATGAGAGAAATAATGGGGGGCAGAAGCTGAGACATAGATGGAAATAGACTCTCATACAAGTGTAGACAGACAGGGGCTCTCTAGATCCCAGGGTTCTGGGATGATTGAACAGACAAAGCACTCCTTAGCACCTCTGCCTTTTTTCTTCCCTCCTGCCCCCAGCCTGGGCCTTCCATGCACTGTGAAGCTGCAGACTAGGAACGGGTGGTCCTTTATTAATACCACCATCTTCCTCCTCACCCCAGCACTCCCAACACTACAGTAATAGGAACATGGCATAAATGGAACGGTGACATGTAAACATTTGGAGAGTCAGTGGTCTGACCCCAGCTCAGCAAAAATGCTAAGCAGAGCAAGACTGTAAACTAGGAGAAAGAGAATGGGCTGGGAATCTCAAAGTGTCAGGGTTACAGGGCTGAGGATTCATCAGCCCCCAAGAGCAGGGAGAGCAAAGTGTGTGTCTCTCCAAACCAGCTGACCCTTGGATTGGGGTCTCTACTTTACGGGAGCTGTCCAGCAGAGTGGGCCTGAAAAGGCCTAGTTGACCTAGAGTTGGCACTAGTGGGAAGGATGATTCACCATGAAACTTTCAATGGCTGGACCTGAGAGTTTAGAAAGAAGCAAGATGCTAGGTCAGCCCAAGAGGCCAGCTATACAGAGAAGTGAAGGGAGAGCAATGAGGGCTGAGGGGAAAAGACCAGAGAGTCTGGGGAAGGTGTGGAAGGCAAGCGAGTTTAGAGTAAAGGAGTTGTTAGGAGTGGCTCTGGGAAAGAAGAGGTTGTATGGGCTGAAAAAGGGGACAGGCACAGGACTCTTCCTGAAACACACCATTCCCTCTCTCTAGGCAGCAGGGAGGCAGCATTTGTATATGCCATCTCATCAGCAGGGGTGGTTCACGCGATTACTCGTGCCTGCAGCCAGGGTGAACTGAGCATGTGCAGCTGTGACCCCTCTACCCGTGGCCGACACCGTGACCAACGTGGGGACTTTGACTGGGGTGGCTGCAGTGACAACATCCGCTATGGTGTCCACTTTGCCAAGGCCTTTGTGGATGCCAAGGAGAAGAGGCTTAAGGATGCCCGGGCCCTGATGAACTTACATAACAACCGCTGTGGTCGCACGGTCAGTACTCATGTCTGTGTGTGAACACTCATATTTACTAGGGGTAACTAGTATGTGTGACTGTGGTCTAAGGGAGCTTGGGAATGCCTCAGTTCTGCCAGGCATGTAGTCTCTGCATAGATAAAAAGTAGGAAAAGGTGGAGAAAGGAAGGAAAAGAACTGCCTCCTGAAAGAATGAGGAGGGGGAAGAGTTTGGTCTAGTCAGCTCACTGGTCTTCACAGACCTGCTGTGTACAGTATATGGTGTTGAGCTGGACAATGGCATGCTACAAACGTAGGAAGGCACAGCCCTCGGGTCCCAAGACATATGAAAACTAGAGAATGTGCAAATATACTGTGATCCTGAACGGAATCCTGTGGCCCTGACACTCAAACAGGCTACCTGTGAATTTGATCAGGAAGAACAGGTGGGAGAGGAAAGAACCAACCAGAGCCAGCCAGACTTAATGCTTTTAGTTCTTGTTAAGTACCGTGGAGTAGGTTCCAACTCATAGTGACCCTGCTCAGGGTTTCCGAGGCTCTAAATCTTTACGGGAGTAGAAAGCCTCATCTTTCTCCCACGGAACCGCTGGCAATTCATAACCACTATGCTACCAGAGCTCCTTAGTTCTTGGAATGACTGAACAGGCCCTGACTAGCTGCCTCTCCATTGCCGTCTCCCTACCCCTAGGCTGTACGCCGCTTTCTGAAGCTGGAGTGTAAGTGCCACGGGGTGAGTGGCTCCTGTACACTGCGAACCTGCTGGCGTGCACTCTCAGACTTCCGCCGCACGGGTGATTACCTGAGGCGGCGCTATGATGGGGCTGTGCAGGTGACGGCCACTCAGGATGGCGCCAACTTCACAGCAGCCCGCCAAGGCTATCGCCGTGCCACCCGGACTGACCTCGTCTACTTTGACAACTCTCCAGACTACTGTGTCTTGGACAAGGCTGCAGGTAAGTAAGAAAAGCAGGCAGGGACGGGGAGCCCCAGTCCTTAGTGCAAACACCCTTGGGGAATCCTGGCATATTCAGTCTTATACATTAGGAAGAGGGATAGTGTGGGAGGCATCGGTCTCCTCCCTCATGAAAAACTGGTACTGAGATTGTTGATTTATCTCTGTCTGCCAGGCCCAGTGCTGTCCAAACAGAGAGTCACTCAGCTTCTTGAGTCTTACAGCCACGCACCAATGCTTGATAGCCCCAGCATCCAGGATACAGTCTGCCCTATTCAGTGAATGTAGTCCTAAGCCTTTGACTCTTTACAATCTAGCGTGGCAGGTAGACAACAGAACTATAGAAAAGAGATCACTAGAAACCAGAGAAATCAAAAGTTTATTTGAAAATGTGGGATTTAAGTTGCACCTTGAAGTGTGGGGATAATCTGGATAGCTAGAGCATAGAATAGGCAGACATTTTCTGCACATGAGCAGAGCGGTAGGTGGGAAGGCACATAACCTGTTCCAGAGACAGAGAACAGTTTGATCTGATTGAAGGTTTCAGGGAAGAGCAATTAAAGCTAGAAAATAAAGATAAGTTGGGTACAGACAAGGAATGACCTTGAAAAGGCTTTATGCAGTGCTTTGCCATTGAAGATTCTGAAATGAAAAAAGGAGACAGCCCGCACCCCCCATCCCCGTCAACCCACACACACACACCCCACCCCCACCCAAAGGTTAACCATTGGCAGAAAGCAACAAATGGGTGTTTACAGTCCGGATATTTATGGTGGAATCCTTGAAGCTGCTAGAAGGTGGTGTGGTATTCCCCTGAGACAATAGCAGTCACCATCCTGCATCCTATTTCAGGTTCAGATGGGTTACACTTGGAACGCCATGTGATGGAACAGAATTACTCTTTCCCTGATTACTGTCACTGGGCTCCCAGATCTTTTGTGCAGATTCAGCAGTCAGGAGTTGGGTGAGATGAAGCCAAAAGCCCCAGCTGTCTTCAGTACTGTTTGTTTCACCCATCACTGTCCTTCCTGGAGAATAATGTGGCTTAGAGCAAAACTGAGCACAGCAAAGTTGAGGCTCCACCCAATAACGAAGAAAGTAGTTTGTGTACTTTTGCCGGGTGCTGGGAGCACAAAAGTGTTTTGGTATGGCATTGTAGGATGAGCACTGGACTGCTAACTGCAAGGTCAGTGGTTCAAACTCACCAGTCACTTGTCGGAAGTGCCTTATATGGGTCATGTGAGTTGGAACTGAATCAACAGCACTTAACAACAGGAGTGTGAAGATTGGGGCACCCTTCTGATCCTGCAGGTAATGTGCTGTCAAGTGTTATCATTCAGAGGTTGCTCTCTAGATGTCTGGAAATAATCCCATAACAGCTGAGGCGTTAGCCTGTGTTTACACCCAAACCAAACCCATTGTCCTCAACTGGATTCTGACTCATAGTGACCCTAGAGGACAGAGTAGAGCTGGCCCATAGGGTTTCCAAGGTTGTCATCTTTATGGAAGCAGACAGCCTCATCTTGCTCCCTTGGAGTGGCTGGTGGGTGGATTCCAATAACCAAACTTGGCTGGCGGCCGAGCACTTTATAAACCGCACAAGAAGGGTCCCTTTAGCCTATGCTACCATACCAAACAGGCATCTTCGGCGAAGGAGCTTTGGAGTTAGGAGGGAAAAGGTATCATAGGTGTTGGTTTTTCTCAAAGGCATAAAATGAGGGCTCATAACCCAGAGGAGAGCCTGAAATTCAAAGGGTATAAGTCACCTCAGAAGGGAGGATGGAGCCAGGAATTCCTTTTAAACCAACAGAGTCCAACTGAAAGTCCGTGAGGATAGAAAGGTTGTACATCTATGCTATCCGATACTATGCTGTGTTGTAATCTATGCTAACCACTAGCTCTATGTGATTAGTGACTACTTGAAGTCTGGCTATTGTAACTGAGGAACAAAAACTTAAATCATAATATATTTACAGCTATTATACTGGGTCACTCAACTCCAGAGTGTAGGAGGCTGTTGGTGCACATGACTTAAGACTCAGCCCTTGGAGTTAGGAGAAAGACATATATAGTAAGTCTAGTCAGTCCACGCCACCACTCGTCTGTCAGTTTGTCGTACTGTGGTGGCTTGTGAGTTGCTGTGATTCTGAAAGCTATGCCACCAGTATTTTAAATACCAGCAGGG